TGCGAGTTTCTCAATTATAATAGATTAATAGTGGTCAGACAAAGACGCGAAGATTTTAAACACATTTCGATTGAAAATTGCATCGGTTTTTTGCCCGAGGAACTGTCTCCGGAGGGTGTTACGTGTAACAGGTATCTCGCAGAAACATTATCCAAGTGCACACCTAGCTTCACCGGTCAAACATTAGTACAATACGAAGTGAATCACTTTGATGGACAGCTTCGAAATGCCCCGACGTCGAGAGGTGCCCTTGATGGGTCCACAAATTATCTGGTGCCCATAGCCCAGCAGCGCTCGAATGATTCATGCAGCGCGGCTCATATATCGTCCTTCGCGCGACCGGCAAAGATCATTAGCCCACACTGTATCTTCCCTCGGAACAGTGCTCGGTAACACAAAATTATTGCCCTTGGTCATCGAATTAGGATCCTGGCGGATGTATGCAGCAGAACCGTAAACTGCGAATTGTCAAATCGTCATTTTTGTACATTGGCCCCGGTTTTCGATTTTTGCTTTGTCTAAAGAAGCCTGGTTTTAGACACGATCCTTAAAAATTAATACTAATTAGCTGAAAAGGCGGAAAACAAAACTTGCAAGAACTTGCATCGACATTTGCAACACATTAATATTTAACTCTCTGTAAGTTTGAAGTCGCAGTAATTATTTATATATTTGTTAATTGTTTGTTCTATTTCGCCTTTATTTCGCCAAATATTCAAAACCTCTTAAATTTTACGAATATATTTTAGCTTTCACTAAAATTTTGCAATTTAAGCAGCAAATTTGTGCCCACGACGAGTATACTCGTCGTAACGCAAAATATTGCCACTCCTTTATGACGAGTATATTCGTGGAAACGCAAGATATTGCCAATTCTATATGACGAGTATAATCGTCGTAATATAAGATATTGCCAGTTTTTTATGACGAGTATACTCGTCGTGACACAAGATATTGCCACTTCTATATGACGAGTATAATCGCCGTAACATACGATATTGCCACTTCTCTATGACGAGTATACTCGTCGTAATACAAAATATTGCCACTTCTTTTTTACGAGTATACTCGTCGCAACACAAAACATTACCACTTCTTTACGACAAGTATACTCGTCGTAACACAAAACATTGCCACTTCTTTACGACGAGTATACTCGTTGAGAACGCCTAAACATGCAAATCCTAGGCAACTCGTTTGCGAAAGCCGCGCAAAGGGCTGTTGTTCGAGGCAAGCTGACGTCGAGCTTCGGGGAATCTCTTAGCCGACACTCTGTACATCGCGCGCGGCACAGTAATTTATTAGAAAAATTCCGATCGCGGATCGATAGGCGGCCCCGCGTTCCCGTGGCTCTAATAAAAACCCAGCGAACCTTGGGATCCCGTTCGACGAACGTGCCGCATACGTAACGGGCGAAGAATCCACGAGGAATTTCCCTCATCTCGGGCCAACGAACGTCGCCAGCGTGTATACATATAACCGGTCCCGCGCGGAATGGTACGACGCGGATGGCACCACGCGACTAGACGCTTCGCTCCGCGCCGCGCCGCGCCGCGCCGGGCCGCGTCGTGTCGCCAGGACGCTTTGGAATTAAGTTTCATAATTTCCCCGGGGCAGCTGGGATCCGCGGGAATAATGCAATTGTTCCGATGCCATAATTTAAAAAGTTGGCCCATTCGTCGGCGCCCAGGGCGCAATCACCGGCACCCGCCTCCGCCCCCACGGCTCCGGCTCGACCTCCTTCCGAGGCGCCTTGAAAACAACCCTAAGGATGCTGCGACTCGCGCGATTTCCTACGAGTCTCGGACAAAAACGAGCGTCGCGATCCCTCGAATTTCATCCCGGCCTGATAAATGTGCTGACGGTCGCCCCGACTTTGACAGTTCACCGTTCAGGCTTGATTGCTAGTTAGGCTGCATTACGTTCTCCTCGCTGCCGCCCTGTTCTTATCTTTGATGTACTTTCAACCGATGTCTCGGTGGAAGCTGCAATCTATTTTTACAGTTACAGATGTCTCTCACTCCCATTTTTATGATATCCGTAAATATTATATTATAAAATTATTATTATTATTATGTTATTTTCATTGTGTGAACGATGGCTCTCCCAATTTTCATCCCCTCCGATTAGCCCCTCGCGCTATAATAAGTCAGACTGGCAATGAACTGAATCATTCGTCTTTGCAACCCTTAAAACTTAGCTCAACCGAAGCTACGCTATCAAGCTTCCTAGAATCACCGCAAAACATTTAATCAGCTTCTATCGCAGCAGCTAAGGGTGCCTCAACGGTCAAGATTAAATTGACCCGATCTTCGACAGCACTGACAGCAGACGCCGACTTGCGACCGGTGTTCTTCCACGGTAAAGATGATGATGTGTTGTTGCAGCCGATTGTCCGGATCCGAACTGCAGCGGACACGGCGCCTGCGTTTCCGGGAAATGTTACTGCAAAGCGGGCTGGCAGGGCGACAAGTGCAATCAGGTCGACCAGCAGGTGTACCAATGTCTGCCTCGTTGCTCGGACCACGGCACGTACGACCTGGAATCGGCGACCTGTGTCTGCGAGGGACATTGGACCGGCGTGGACTGTTCGCAACCGAGCTGCGGCCTCGACTGCGGGCCACATGGTACCTGCGAACAGGGTGTCTGCAAGTTAGTATACTGAATAATCTACGGGGAAACCGCGACGACTGTCGTCGCGGTTCAGCCAAGCCTATGGTTCTTGAAACCTTGACCGCTTTATGGATGACCTTGTTGCCGATGTTTCCGATTTTATCTTTTCGACATCTTGATCCTGTCACAGTTATCGAGGCGAGAAAACGCGTAAATGTGTAACAATCTAAAGAAGAACGATGGAAATAATTGTTTTAACCCTTTGCACTCGAAGCTATTTTAATTATATTTTAAACATATTTTCCGATCTACAGTATATTATATATTATATATTATATTATTATAACTTATAATATATATTATATTATTATATATTATATATATTATATTATATATTATATTATATATTATATATTATAAATTATATATTATATATATTATATTTTATATTTTATATGATTTATTACGATTTATGCATACGAAAGCCAATTTTAACAGTTTTCTGGATATAAACGAGTTTGATACTATTACAATTGAGCCGTTCATTTTGAAAGTGACATAAGTCACTTTACCGTAATGAAAAGTGGTGATTTTTTAATGCTTATACAAAATTATTTATACTGAGAAAAATATCAGTATCCTGAGACAACAAATACAAGTAAATCTTCTCGAAAGTTAGCATCCATATTTTTAAACGTGTTGAAACGCAAACCCTCAAATATATCGACTTAAAAACAAAGTGACTTATGTCACTTTCAAAATAAACGGCTCAATTAGTTCGAAAAATATTGGGTCGTTCGGAAAGTTGTTTCGTTCTTTCGCGAGGAAATGAAAGACGATCTTTTTTTAATGTTACGAGTAGAAGCAAACTTTTCGACAGTTTTCTAGTAGCTTTGAGATCTTATTGTTTTTTACATTTGGAAAAATACTGAATCAAATGTATCTTTGAACACCCTTGCAACATGAAACTTTTATGAAAAACGAAAGAACTTTCCGAACGACCCAATAGTACAGCAATTTTTAGCGGCGCCTCAGAGTCGCCGGTCGAGCGCAAAGGGTTAATCGGCGCAAGGTCTAGCTGACGTCGCAAGATCTCCGGTTTCCAAAGTGGACTTCTGTTTTCGAGAAAGAGGACAAAAAGTCCAGTCTTCGCATTTCCGAACGACGAAATCCACGAGTATAATTGCGACACTTGTGTCTCACTTTCCGAGAACATGAAAGATTCGCGTTGCTCGAAGGCGGTCGCCTGGTACTCGCTCAGAGGATCGCGAGCTGTCCTTTGTCCCCCGAGGACAGCTCGAGGTCCTTCAGTGAATGTATCCAGTGGCGTCGGACTTTATCGCAACAAGTCAGCAGCGATCGGAAAAAATTGTGACTCTGCGAAATCGAGAGCGAGGGGTGGGGGGCGAAGGGAGGACGACGGGGACGGATCGAGGGGTTGGAGTACCGAAAGAATGGGCTAAAAATGGGTAAATTGCTGGCGCGATCGTCGGCACGAAAGTTCTCCGACTAAGAAGGTGAAAAATTGCAAGAAAAAGGCTCTGTCTTCGGGCGAGGAGAGCCGACTTATCACGACTCGAAGGACCGTCCCGCCCTGGCTTCCCTTTGTCAGAATCAAGGACGCGAAAGAGGATCTCCTTTCTCATATTCTAAAGCTGACGCCTCTCGTCTTCCCTCTTGTTCCATCGGCCGCGAGCCTCCCCGTGAAAGAGCCTCTAAAGCGCAAAAACTTTTCTCCGCGAGTGGGCAACTTCGAAACTGAACTCGAACTCAAACTCTCGCGCGCGTCGACCTCTCCCCCTCTCACCCTTCCCCCGTGATCCTCACCGCCCCCTCCCCCTCCTGTCTGTAAAAGATCGAAGAGGCGGACGCGCGCGAATCAATTTTACATTCGACGATAAAGCTTCGCGACACCGAGGGAACTCGGTTCCGTTTTCGGCATCTTTGTCACGTTGTCGAGCCAATTCAAGTTTTACGACCTTAGATCCGGGGCGAGGAGCTTGCGGGACCGGGGACCCCGGAATCTAATTAATCGGGATTTCCGCAGGTGCAACGACGACTGGACCGGCACCAAGTGCGATCAGAAGCCCTGCGATCCGAGATGCGCCGAACACGGACAGTGCAAGAACGGCACCTGCGTGTGCAGCCAAGGATGGAACGGAAGGCACTGCACCCTTCGTAAGTGCGACGACACTGTCACCTACCGAGCGATTTCGCAGACGAGACGTAACATTTCGAAGTTGATTCTGCAGGGTGTCCCGTAATTATGGGGATTAGACGAATTAGACGATTCGTGAGGATATTTGAAGCAACTTTTTCCTTAGCGAAAACGCGATCCGCGGATTCGTTTGCGAGTTATTAACGAAAAACGCTGACCAATGAGGGGCGAGGTCAGTTGACGCGCCAAGCTGACAAACCAATGGGCGGAACTGAGCTCCGCGCGCTCGTTGTGTGGATCGCCCCGCGCCAGCCGAGCTCGCGTCTCTCATTGGCCACTGTTTTTCGCTAATAACTCGTAAACGAAGCCTTGCAGAACATTTTCGCTGAGGAAAAAGTTGCTTGAAATGACCTTAGCAATCGCCCCGTTCCAAGTATCAACATAATTATGGGATATCCTATATACTAACTTGGTCAAGACACCGCAGAAATTCGGAAAATGATCGAACTTCGCGAATATTTGGAACACATGATTAATCTTCCATTTCCAAATTCATAAAATCTTTCACAATAGTTAATCATACTTAAAGCAAAGAAAATTGCACGATACCTGAAAGTTTCATTCCTTTCCGAATTTTCTGAACATCTTGCCTCGTAAGGGACAGCAACCCTTTCTGTCTTCCGCAGTCTAGCAACACCGTTGCAGTAAAATGCGACGTTTATTTACAGTAACATAAATCGTATCGGCAAACGAGAAGCGAGTCGTGCTCGTTTCTAAATAACATTTTCATCTTCCGAGGTAGACGGCGAAAATACTCTACAGAACGTACAGACACGCAACAGTTATCGGTAATGTTTAATGAGTTTTAAATGTAGCACCCCGTGCTCAGCGGATGCTTCGGGAGACCTGTAGATTTGTCTCGCAGTAGGATAACAGTTTTTCCATCGTGGAGCGCTGCGAGGCGCCGGCCCGGAGTAACTAGAACGAAAGGAACATCGGTTTTCAATTAGCATTAATCGTCCGACGACAGCACGGATTAAAGTATTTGCTCTGGTTTCTTGATAGCCGGATGCGAGAACGGGTGCAGCCGCCACGGGCTCTGCACTTTACAGGACGGCGAGTATAGTTGCGAGTGCTCGACCGGCTGGGCGGGTAGAGATTGCAGCATACGTCTCGAAATGGAGTGCAATGATCTCATTGACAATGATCAGGGTGAGCATTATCGACCGCACTGTTTTACTATTTTCAACCCCTGGACGATCAATTCTCCCGTTCACCGTTTCGACGAGTCCAGCTTTTTCTATCGAATTTTCACGATTCACCCGATCGAAACGATGCTTCGTCGGCGAAGATGATAAAGCGTGCTTTTCCGAATCATCGACGTCGCTGTTGACATTTCTTTCTCCGATGATTTTACGTTCTTTTGACACGTTCAGATCCGACGATTGGCCACTGAAATTCCCACAAATTTAATGCAATTCAATTAATTGAACCGAAACCAGAAAGTTAAAATTAAACATTCTAGAAAAATTCAGTTTGTTCGAATATATTTGCAACGAAAATGAATTTTCAAAACTGGTCAAAGATTAGTGACAAAAATTACCGTATTCACGTGTCTTAATGATCGCTCGTCAGACTTCACCCTTTGCACTCGAGCGTCTACTCTGAGGCACCTCTGAAATTTAACCCTTAGGGGACCAAAACTATTTGTTTCCAGTTTACACACTGCCAAGTCTAGACTGTTTTTCAGAAGAAGAGAAATTTTTTACTGAAAATATATTATTATATATATATATTATTTTCTATTATATTTTCTATTATTAATATACATTAATATATATATATATTTACTCAAATATAGAGAGGAGATATTCATTTTTTTTAATAAAACTTCGTTGATATATATTTTCATCGAAACAATCGTGCCTATTCTTCCAATGTTTCCTTCCAGATTTCACGGTTTTATTGATTTCTGCCGCGTGTACGGCGGCATTGGACCGTTAAAGGTTAAGATAATTATTACATTAACAAAGTCAGATTTTAAAAAAGTTATTAAAAGCGCAACCGTTGTGCAAGTCGCAAGACTCGATTTCGCGCGCATTTGTCACATAAAACGAAGCTACCATAAATCAAAAAAATTATTTTAGATTTACAGTTAGAACAGCTTCGTGTGCAAAGGGTTAAAAAGACTCTACAAGAAGGTCTTCCCCCCTCCCAAAAAAAATGAAGCGAATCTATACTGAAAAATCAACGCGAACAACAATAGAAAACGCCGGACTCCGTTCTATCCCGGCGATCTAGACCGATCGCGATGTTTCCCCGAAAATCCGCGAGTCCTTTGAACGTTCGCGAGACAAAGAAATCCTTGATCATCCCGTAAGCTCTTATCGCGGGAGCCGGCCGGCGAAACGGGCCGCGCGAACAATGCCGCGCCGTAAAGCGGGCGGCGAGAGGCGTTCTAAGAAGTAATGTTCCTCAGATGGCATGGTGGACTGTTCTGACAGCGAGTGTTGCTCGCACGCAGCTTGCGCAGCGCATATCATGTGCCTTACTAGTAATAATCCCGTGGACGTGCTTCTACGCAAACAGCCGCCCAGCGTGATGGCGTCGTTTTACCAGCGCGTGAAATTCCTCGTCGAGGAGAACAGCGTACAGAGCTACGCTCACATGAACGAGTACACCGAAAGGTAAGATCGATCACTTCTTCACATTCGGTTTACCATGACTATAATATATACTTATAAATATATATATATAGAACGCTTAGTTACCTTATTTTTACGATCAGTAAGAGGATAATGTGTAGGCGAGCCGGCCTGACCTCTTCGCGCCGCAAAAATCGTTCGGTCGAAACGTTCCGCATCGCGATCGAGCCTCTTGGAGCCAGAATGGCTCAAACGACGATACTAATTTATAACGATACTGATTTAGCCCGCGCGATCGTGTCGCGAAAGAATTAACGATCTTCCTAGCGCGACAATCTCGAAAACGCACCCTATGGGTGCCGCGGCGCCTCGGACAGCGGCGTTCGAATCCTCCGCGAGGGTTCGTATCCGCGAAGTATCCGGTAACCGGTGATTTTTGTGCGAAGAGGGCAGGCCGGTTCGCGACGTCGACATACATGATGCGTACCGTTTGAACAAAAGGAGTTTAACGGGGGGCCTTAGCTGCCCCGCCGCAGCGCGTGAATAAGTTTGGCCTCGCGAGTAGCAAACCACGAGGTTTCGTTCGGCTCGGCTCGGCGCGGTTTATTTCCACGTTTTGTCAAATTGAACATCATCATCATCATCCACGAGAACTCTGCCCGCGGATCAATTGATTCACCATACGCTCCGGGGCCGGAGCGTTTTTTTATTTCCGTTTCCGCGGTGTTACGGCACGGCACGGCCGCGCTCGACAGAACGCTTCAGCGATGTGCAGAGTTACATGTATATGTAAATATAAATCATTCCGTGTGTGTGTAACAAACAGAGAAACGGGCGATGATGAGACCGTTGCATCGTGTATTCTGATGCGCAAAACGAGTTTTGATCGCACAGACGATGCCGCACCCACGGCTTGACGATGGTCTCGCTTGTAACAACCGGCTTGTTGTTTGGGCGCGCGTCGCATTTTTCCCGAGGCGAGGCTGCTGCTTCACGATGGGACGAAACGCGGCAACGATAGAACCGTATCCACCCCCATCGGCCGAAACACGTGCGCGAATCTAAAGCAGCGACGATCTCTGGATCGTTGATTGCCAATCGTGTTCGACGTTTATGGAACGCCGAAAGGGAAACGGACCCGAGCGCGACGCCGAGTGTCCCGTTTTCATCGTCGCACTTGTTCTCCCCTGGAAGGAAAGCGAGCTTCGTTCTCGCGTTCTGTCCCCGTCGTGAGGCGACAGTCCCCGCGAGTCGCGCGGAACGACGAGAAAGAAAGGAAAGAAAATGAGAAATGATAACAGAAAACGGATTCAATCAGATTGCACCGCATATAACCAAGCAATCCGGTATAACCGTGACAGCTGAATTATCAAGAGAGCCCCCGGTGGGTGACAACCCGGCCAAAACACCCTAACCAGCCATCCTGTTCTCCTCGTGTTTCGCCCCCCTCCCTCCCCCGAATGCCAAACGCGTCAGTGATCATCTCGGAAGCATTGTCGATCAAAGGAGCCTCTCGTAACGCGCAACGCGGCCCGATATTAATTACTCGCAATTCTCGGCGGCTGATCGATACGCATCGTCTTAGACCGGAGCGGCGGCGGCGCCGAATTTCCGCTTAGCCACTTAACGGCGAAACCGAACCGGAGTCCCGGAAGTTTCGTAGATATCGCGGAATCGAAAAGTGCGCTCGGACCGGCGCTTTCCATAGACAATCGATAACTAACGAGATCGCTAATTACGACCGCCGCCGCCGCCGCGGCCGCCGCGGTTTCTTCTTCCGTCTCGCGCGCGTTCTTCAATTCACTCGAGACTCGAGTTACTCGTTAGCGACGCGAGCAACCAGCATACAACTTGACCGCGTTCGATCTCTCGTTCTATTTGCACGATAGGTCCGCGATATCGGTGTTCGCTCGTTTCCATTATTTTCGCAATTGTTGCTGGCGGAGTTCGCTTTGATAAATCGCGAGATTTTAGCGAGGTTTTAGCGTCGACGCGGTCAGCGTCGAGAAAATAGTTGACACGTGGTTATTTGAAATCGGGGCGCTTTCGGAGGAAGTCGAAAGAAAAGGAAATAGTTTCGATAGTCGAAACGTCGTTGATGTTAAGAAATTGAGATATATGCGCGGCTGAAAAGGACGTGAAAAAATTGAGAAATATGCGCGGCTGAAAAGGACGTGAAAAAGAATCGCGAAACTGCGTTAACTTCTTTGTTAGTGTTACGGATCGAAGCCTTTTCTTTTTAAATTTGCTGTAGAAAGGGTATCGTAGGCAGGGTAAAGTTTCGGGTAAAGATTAGAGTTAGGACTTAGGGCAGGGATCGCCTAAGCGTCTCTGCGCGGACAGCGGCCTTTGTTCAACACTGATGAAGATTTGCTCGGGACGCGGGCGGCAGAGCGGCTGCGAGCGCATTTCGGGGGATTCGTGTATTTTGTCTAGTGTTTATCCTCTGTGTGTACCCTTGCCACCACCAGATCACCATTCACCCCACAGCCGAAGACCGAAAGAGGCTCCGTTCTACGTTACAGACTGAACGAACGACCGAGAAACCGAAAAAAGAAAAGAACGAAAAAAAGAACGAGAAAAACAGAGAAAAAGCAAACAGAAAAGTTAAAGAAAACCATACATACGAAAATGGAGAACAAACGAAACGAGGAAAGAGTGCCGAGAAAGGCGAACGAAAAAAAGAAAAGAAAAGAGAAACAAAACGAGATCGAAAATCGTGAAAAAAAGAAGGAACACGAGAGGAGAAGAGAAAAGAAACGAGAGAAAAAAAAGTCTGCACACGGAGAAAACGCTCGAGAGACTCGCTTTTTTATCGTATCTCGATCGATCGGTTTAATTAAGTTCTCGGCCCGCGTATAGAAAAGTTTTACACGTTCTTCCAGGCTGACTATTGTTCTTCGCCGCGAACTGAGCGCGCAGTACCAAAAAAAAAAAATATATGAAACAACCAAAAAAAAAAAGAAAAATAAACGAGAAACTTCCGTACATATGTTGTCAAGCAACAGCAGCAGCAAAGAGTTGTTGAAAGAGCAGAACAAAAATATATGTATATGAGAAACGATGAGAAAGAAAAAATGAAAAGAAACACGAAAAGAGACGAGATATAAAAATAAAAAAAAAAAGAAAGATGAGTGTCGTTTTATATCGTTTTGCGTTTCTTCAAAATTCTTGTGATTCACCACAGTTGTGTTCTCGGCCACTTTGTTTAAGCAGTTTCACCAAACGAAAAGAAAAGGGAGATTCATAGATAAAAGCGATCACGAGGGCGATCGACTCCCGGTCTCGTTCGGCCCCGATCATTCTCGGGCGAAATCCCGTTCCGTCCAACCACCACTGCCGGCCGCGATTGTTGGACAATTTAATCGGCGACGACGACGACGACGACGACGACGCCGCGGCTCGATCGTCCGAGTGAAGTTATTTCTAGAAATGGCGGACACAAGTTTGAAACTTCTCTGTGCTACTGCCGCGCGTTCCAGCGCGCTT